TGCGGGGGTCAATTGACCCCCCTTGCCTCTATGTAGATCCGCCACTGAGCACTCCAACCAAGGCTTCACCTTCTCCTTTAAGCACTCCACCGTTGGCTGCTCCTTCTCCGTCTTCCGTCCCAGACTCTCCACCTTCTCCCCTATCCGCTTCCCCTGAATCTCCAGCGATCCCTCCATCTTCAGTCTCTGCACCGCCCTCTGAGGCTCCCGCACCGGCCAGCAATGGTGCCATTTTGAATAGATTCTCCGCCGCCGGATCTGTGGCCGTTGGGATTTTCGCTGCTGTTTTGGTTATGTAGAGTGGGGGGGTTTATGGGTTTTTTCACAATTATCCATTTAATATTTGTATCAATTTAATTCTATTTATTTATTTTATTTTATTTAAATTTGTAGCGCAGTTATATGGGAATATAAAAGAGACATGTTTGTTTTCTTAAATTTTTTTTTTCGATGCATGTGATTATTCTCAAGTTGCCAACAGCTATTGCCACCTCACACTGGGCTGAGCTAGTTGTGTTGAAGTTGAACCTAAAAATTGTTCTTTGGTTAAACTCAAATCATCAAATGAGATAGCTTTGACATTAAATATTTAGTGCCCGTTTGACATTGCTTATTTTGGGTGATAAGTGATTTTTTAAAAATTTTGGGAAGCCCAACCCGTTTGGTAAACTATAAGAAAATTACTTATTGTTAAAAATTGTTATGAGAGAAAGCTGTAAGGGAAAGCAGCTAATGATGTGCTTTCATTTTCTGATTATGCAGGAATCAGTTTCGAAGAGGTGTTGGGTTTAATGATTATGCCGCAATTTTTTTTCTAATTATGCGGGAATCAGTACCAACAACACTTTTAACAAAAAGTTTACCAAACGCCAAACTGCTTTCTCTCACAGCTGATTTCTCTCACAGCAAATTTGACAGCGATTATTTTCACAGCACAGCAATGCCAAACTGGCTCTTAATCAGACTTGAGTTTAAATTAAAATTTGCTCTTTTCTTTTCTCTTTTACAGTTCCGTCCTCCTGGTCCTATGGACAGCGAGTTTCTTGGTCACTTGCCGTTGGATTAAATCCAACGATGGACAACACTCTTAACAACAAACTCATTTTTATTTTATTTTTTGTAATTATTTTCGGTAAATGATTTTTAAAGTTTTCACAAAAGTTAAAAATAAAAAATGTTGAAGTAATTTTTTAGAAGGAATCCAAATTTTTATCTGCCATTGTTTTCTCTAGTGAGTTTGAAATTTTTTTTTTCCTACTCCCCTTGTAAAGGAAATTGTGATTCTTAGTAATTAATTGAGAAAAGATTACAGAAAAGTATTTAACACATAACTAATCTATACACTAGATAAAGCCACCTATACAAGCTGTTACAACTACTCTCTTTACCCTGGCCCCTAAAATGCACTCGGGTGTGATTCACGTATGAGACAATCTTGAGACAACCCAATATATTACTTCCCCCTCCCCCTCTTTTTAGTGAACGGCCAAAAAAAAAAGAATTTACATTAGTTGAGTTTGTATATGAAATAACTTGTTTTGAATAACTTAGGGCATGTTTGGTATCCTACTCAAAAAAATAAAAATAAAAAACAATGATTTTTTTTTGGGAAAGAACTCAAAAACTATGATTCTTTTTAAAAATATGAGTTTTCAAATAGTGATTTTAAACTATTTTTAAGATCTAAAAGAAATTGAAATTGAAAGTGAAATCAGAAACCCTAGATTCCCATAACAAAAGAAAAGGAAAAATCTGTGTGGTTTTTCGTGGAAACCTTAAAAACCCAAAACATGAAAAAAGATTTATCAATTTTGGTTGCGGTCGGGTCAAACCAAGGAGGTAGTGGACGAAGGAAACCTTCACGGAGCTGCAAATGACGACGTGGACTCATAACCACCAACCAGAGAGAGAGAGAGAGAGAGAGAGAGAGAGAGAACTCTTAAATCTCACTTTTTTGGTTTTCAATAATGCGGGTGTCTTGTGTTCTTTTTGGGTTTGAGTTCTAAAAAATAAACATACCAAATGGGTTTTTTAAGCTTTGGATTTATAATATGTTTTTGAGTTTATAAAATTGAATTTAAGTAGGATACTGAACGGGTCCTTAATTGTTATGGCATTCCAAAACAATCATCCTACACTGCTTCATTAGAAAAATATAAGAGAAAAATTGCACCTTAATATAAAGCAAGCTAAGAAACACAATCAGCCAAACTTGCCATCTCCATCGTAGGAAAACTAACCGTTGGAGACTCAACCTTTGCATCCAACGGCTACAAAACAAGGTCAATACACAAATCGCGTTTCGCCTGAGTTGGTAACACGTTTTCCAACCCAACCTTCTCTCAAAAGGCTAAAATCTCTACCGTCCAAATAAGCTCCTAATAATCCAACGGTCCATTCCCCATCCAAGTGTCCTCCCCTTCCCTCTATAAAATGCCCTCTCCCTGCTCTCCTTAAATCCACCCATCGCCTCTCAGCCTCTCAACCCTCTCTCTTTTTGCCAACTCTCTCTCTCTCTCTCTATATATATATATACAACAATGGCCAGATTCAGCAGCGTCGTTTTGGTGCTAATGGCTTCTCTCTTGTTGGCCTCAACAAGGGCACAATCCCCTACTTCACCCTCTAATGCTACCGCACCGCCCCCTGAATCTCCAAAGAACCCTCCACCTTCCCCCTCTAATGCTACCGCACCACCCTCTAATGCTACCACAAATGCCACCAACGGCGCCGTTTTGAATAGATTCTCCGCTGCCGGATCTGTGGCCGTTGGGTTTTTCGCTGCTGTCTTGGTTATGTAGAGTGGGTTTTTAATTATGAGTATTTTTAGTGTGTGTTTATGGATTTTGTTGTAAATGCATGAGTTGGTGGATGACCACCATACCTCTTAGCATTCACCATTTTTAATTTTATGTAACCTATACACTAAATACCATAGTTATGTGCTTGTAACTTATGAGTTGTTAATGTCTTATTACCATTGTAAGCCTATAAATAAGAGGTCTTATCAAGATGAGAAATATAAGTTAATTGAACAATTTCTATTATCTTTCTCTACTTTCCAATTCTCTCTACAATTTCTCCTTAGTTATATAATACGTTATCAGCACGAATTCTCTTCCAAAATGCAGCTAAGTGCCTCAATTAAATCCCTCCGCTCAGGGACGGATAATGTCTTATTACCATTGTAAGCCTATAAATAAGAGGTCTTATCAAGATGAGAAATATAAGTTAATTGAACAATTTCTATTGTCTTTCTCTACTTTCCAATTCTCTCAACAATTTCTCCTTAGTTATATAATACGTTATCAGCACGAATTCTATTCCAAAATGCAGCTAAGTGCCTCAATTAAATCCCTCCGCTCAAGGACGGACCCAGGAATCTTATATCATAGGGTCATAATGTAAAGATTTGGTGGGGGGGAGGGTTAAAGGTTGGGGG